TCCTCGCAGAGGAGGGAGAGCTTGTACCTGAATAAAACTTGGTCTTAAAGGTGCCACCGGACTATTTTGGACTGAGGGGCCAGGGGGAGCTGTGCAACTTACCTGGCTGCTTCTTGCTCTGACTGAGGGCTGCTGGGAGCATGGGGCGGGGCTTGTTGCATGTGCTCGCCCTCTGGGCTCTTTACTACCAGAGCTCCACTCCTGTGTGCTCCTGCAGGAAATGACCTCTGTATCTATATCTATATAATATTAGTGTCTTTTTAACTCTTCACCACCTTGAGGGTTATAATTGGTTGGAAAGGCAGGATTAAAGTGTTATAAATAAGACAAACCAAATAATCGTAGCATGCCAAACAATTTAAGAGTACATAGATTTATCATCTTTAATCTGCTATTATATTTTCCTTACAGGAAACTGTAGCCTAGCATCAAATGTGATACTTTTATTCCTTTCCAGGAAACGCAGCAAAGATGAGAGAAGAGGTTCATTCAGAAGAGTCTCGTTCTGAGTACCATTTCATAATTTTACTTCCCCCCCCCCCATTGTGTGACGGTAATCGAGGAAATTGTGATAACGTATTGCCAGCAGAGATTTCAGAATATTTTTCTGGTACAACCCACTCCTCTGTCTTTGTTATCATTTGTCTTTATGATTCATAGAGTTGCCAAGTCTGGTTTGGAAAATACCTGGAGATTTTGGGGGTGGATCCGGGAGAGGGCGGGGTTTGGGGAAGGGAGGGGCCTCAGCATGCGACAATGCCATGGCCTTCAAAGCAGCCATTTTCTCCAGGGGAGCTGATCTCTGTCAGCTGGAGATCGGTTGTAAAAGCGGGAGATCCCCAGGCCCCACCTGGAGGCTGGCAACCCTAATGATTCAAGAAAAACTTTCAGCACAAATGTGAAATAATTAGGGCCCAGGTATACTTTATGTTTTCCTTGAGGATGTCCCCAGGTCAATGGAGAAGTGTGCTCTACTTCCCAGGCATGCATGGGCCTGATTCAAATCTAAACTGCAGCACATGGGGGGGGGGGCTTAGACCACCCCACTCCACACAGTTTTTCTGACCGGAAGCAGCCCATTTGGGGGAGGGGGCCTGAACATGGACTGATATCACAAAAAATGCCCCCAGGGCTGTTTCAAGTTAGGTAAGCAGTGTGGGGAGGGGAGTTCTACCCTCTCTGCATTGGGCCCAATACGCAAGTGGGAAGCATGGTATTTCAGAACATGTCTCTCTATCCAACCTCAGGACCTCTTTGGAGAAAAACATATTGTGTGATTGAGCCCATTATGGACTTCGCCTGAACAAGTTGCAGTAATGTTTGCCCTGTCTCCAAGACCCCAAATTTCCCATAGTAAAATACCTTTCTTTTGAGAAAAACACATACACTTTAGAAAGATATGTAGAAGGAAGGGGTTTTTGTGTATGTGCACTAAACATGGTTATAATTAGTTGCTGTAGATTTTCCGGGTCGGGTGGCTGTGGCCTTGGCATTGTAGAACCTGACGTTTCGCCAGTAACGGTGACTGGCATCCTCAGAGGTATAACACAGAAAGATGGAGTATTCTCTGTGTCAAGGTGAGAAGAAAATGGTAGGCAGGTAATTTATATCTACTCCAGAAGGTGGGGTAGGGCTGAGTCATTATCTTGTAGGAGTTCCCCAGGCTATGAACATGCTAATGGAGGAGCTTTCCTGAGGAGGTTCTTTTGTATGTGGATTGTTTCCTTTCAGTGTCTTGGAACAAACAACTGAGGAAAAACAGCCTCCCACAGGAAAAGTGTTTTTGCCATATATCAAAGGAATCACTGATCAGATGGGAAATCTTATGAAAAAACACAACCTACAGACAGTATTCAGACCCACCAGAAAAATACAACAAATGCTACGATCGGCAAAAGACAGAAGAGACCCCCTCACTTCTGCAGGAGTATACCGCATACCATGCAGTTGTGGACAAGTCTACATCGGGACCACGCAGCTTAGCATTCAGACAAGAATAAAAGAACATGAAAGACACTGCAGACTTGGCCAACCTGAAAAATCAGCAGTGGCTGAACATAGCCTAACTCAAACAGGACACAGTATTTTGTTCCAAGACACTGAAAGTCTGGACAACACTTCCAATTACCATGTCAGATTACACAGGGAAGCCATTGAAATTCATAAACATAAACACAATTTCAACAGGAAAGAAGAGAGTTTAAAAATAA